ATCAGAATTTGAGGGATTTTAGAAAGGTGGTACAACACATACACCATATCACGTAACATCACCTGGGGAGCCTAGAGCAGCACCCTACAATAAAATTATGTAATATTTCCTAAGCCAAACTTATAAGTGTTCATTCTGTGTAGGTTAATTAATGACTATAAACACTTTCGTGTCAGTTCAGATCAGGTTTTCTTGTCAAATGAGTTCAGATCAGGTCAGGTTTGCTGCAAATTAGCCACTTTGGCTTTTTCAGATTGTGGATTTGTGTCTACATATTAATAAACATTTAGAAGCTTCAGCATGGTCTGGGTACTGTGCTAGATGTTGTACCTAAAATTAAATATGACAAAGTCACTTCTCCAAAAAGTATACAGCCTAATTGATGAGACACTTAAGCAAACCAATATTTACATGTTTGCATTGGATGATAAGGAAAAAAAAAAAAGAAAAAGAGCATCTAGATGACACTGAGGAATCAGGGAAAGTTCTTAAAGAAGTTTCCATCTCTAATCTAATAAGAAATATTTTTCAGGAATAAACATATATAAATATTTTAAACATTTCCAGAAAAAAACTTCTTTTAGGAACAAAGCCATAAATGTAGTATACAATTCTAACCCCCCAAAATTCTCTATTGGTAAACTTTTACCAGATTATGCCACAGTAAGAAACAACTTCTAGATTTTTATGGTTTACAACAAAAATTGTTTATTTCTTATTCATGTTACATATATATTGTTCCATGTGTCTTCTTTGTTCTGGGATATAGGCTGAAGGATCAGTCGTTACCTGGGATATTGCTACTCTTAGAGCAGGCGGGAAGAAAATAATGGCACTACTGGGGTACTTGGGTGGCTCAGTCAGTTAACCATCCCGCTCTTGATTTTGGCTCAGGTCATGATCTCAGGGTTGAGGGATAGAGCCCCATGTTGGGCTCTGCCCTCAGTGGGAAGTCTGCTTGGGATGTTTCTCTCTCCCTCTCCCTCTGCCCCTCCCCCAGCTCTCTCTCTTCCTTTCTCTCACATAAATAAATAAATCTTAAAAAAAAAAAAAAATGGCACTACCATGCAATGACTCTCAGTGCATCTTCCCAGAACTGGCACATGGCATTGCCATTCATATTTGATTGGCCAAAGGAAGTTACATGGTAAAACCTGATATCAGGGAAGCATAATCTTCCCACAGGGTTGGCTCATAGTAGTGCCCTATAAGGAGCAGGCAGGAAATTTTGACATTAATACACTTGGCTTCTTTATTCTATGGCCTATGTCTTTCTTTGACAAGATGCCCTGTCTCTTTGAGTTAGTAGCAAGCTCTGTCTCTATATTTGAACAAGTGGTAAATCAACTTTCTCAAGTAGTGAGAGGACCATTCCCATCAAATGAGAAATGTGTTTGATGTAGAGAAAATGGAAGTCTGGCATGATAGAGATTGATAAATAGATAAAGAGTATAAGAATAGGAGCTTTAGAAAATATATTGGAAAACAATAAGTAATTGGGCCCTTGGCAATGGGCAGAAAGGTCTATCACCATTAGGTAATAGGTCAACAACAACAACAAAAACAAAAAAAGAGACCATTCAAACATTTCTGAAACAATTTCAATAATTTAAAAACTAAAATACTTCTGCATATAGCTATTTCAAATATCTTCTTTAAGAAATGAAATGCACTGTGATCACTTAGAAAAATTAAAGTTAGAAAATTCATACACATATTTGATAACTTAGAAACATTTGTTTCTAATCATGTGTCCACTGAATAAGGAGCATAAAATAAAATGCAAAGATATAATATAGAGGATTAATTATCTATTTGCAAAATCAGCACATGATAATTTAAAGTAATGCCATTTTGTTTGTGGAATATACAATGATCTTTGAAAGAAATAGAAACAGTTTACAAAAGATAATAAAACTAGTACATACATTATTCTCATTTGTGTACATACAATATCTCATTTTAGTCTTCCTATGATCATAGAATTATAAGAAATTGTAGAGGTCCCAGAAAAGAAGCAGAAAAAATGATTAATGAAATCAAAATGTCTATGTATATAAAATATTACACATTATATATACTAATATATGTAATAAATTAAAGGTTTATTAAGTCTGAGGCTATATAGAAAGATTATATTCATGTATTTATGAGAAAGGCTATCTATAAGTTATATTTTTTAAAATCTTGCTTCAGAACAGAAATAGAAAAAATGGAATTTAGCTGAATTAAAAGATTTAAGATCATGAGGAAGCAGTAGTCACATTCATATGTATTTAGTTACAGTAATTTCCAAAAATAATTATTTGAATATTACCTGAAATCAAATAATTTAATAATTTAACTTACGTGATTGTGAATAAGTTCCTTGTTTCTCTTGATTAATACATGATGAATAATACCAATTCTAGTCCTTGTTTGCAAACCTCAAAAATAACTGACTAATTAAACCAGAAAAGGAATTTATTAAAAGGATACAGGTACTTCTGGTCAGGATGTATAAAATCATGAGACCACTTCTCCCACTCTAACAAAGAGAATAAGGCAGACGAATTATAAAATTATGGGGTTTTTTTCCCCACTGGAAAGCTGAAGATAAAAAGAAATGTAAATGGATTAAATTCCCAAAAGGGAAGAATCTTTCCTAGGAGAGAAGAAACCCAAATCCATGGGCACAGAAGAAGAGGCAAACTCACTGTAGACAGAAGTAAGGAGAAACTAGCCAAAATTTTAATAAACGCTTTATAGCCTCATGTGGCTGTCATGAAGGAGGTCCTGTGAGAATGTACTCAATCACCAATTTTATCAGAGCTTTTACTGAACACAGCCAGCTGAAGGATGGAAGCCGAGCAGAGAACAGGGAAAGATTCCTGCACTTGAAGCCTTCCAGAGTGCACAGAGTGGTGCTCTAAAGCCTGCGGACCAGAGAAAGAAGATACAGAGATTTCCTGAAGAGGTGGATCAAGTGCACAGCAACTGAAACCTGGGTGCACAACAGGAGAGCTGAGAAACATCATCCCCCTAAGTCACTCATGGCCCTTACCTGAGTGCAAGGCAATAGCATGCCAAAAGCTAAAAGCACAGCAGCAACGTGGAAATAGAGTTCGTGAAACTCAGAAAGTCAGAAGCCTGGCTGGAGAGAGCCAAAAGAACACCGTAGGAACCAAAATAATCTGGGTGGCCTGGAAAGATGGCTACTGGGCTGTAAGACATAAAGAATTATATGGTGCTCAAATAAACTAGTCCCAACCCTTCTCATAAAACATCTGAAACCTGCTGAACTACTGATCTAATGAAAGCTATCACAAGCCTCAGAGCCAGCTCAACTACAGATCAGACTGCTTCAGCTTCATCACTTGCAGCCTGTCACAGGCATGGCATTTCTTATTCTTCAGTAAATAATATTTACAGCCCTTTTACAGACAACTTCTGGCATAAAATTTAAAATTATGTGGTATGTAAACAAGCAGGGTGATGCCATCCATCAATACAATAGTCAATAGAAGTAAACCCAAATGTGACCAAAATGCTGGAATTAGTAAATAAAAAATGTAATATAAATATATTTTTTAATTTTCTAATTTATTTATTTGAGAGAGAGAAAGAGTCCAGTGGGAGAGGGAGAAGCAGACTCCCCGCTGAGCAGAGAGCCTGACACAGGGCTCGATCCCAGGGCCCTGGGATCATGACCTGAGCCAAAGGCAGATGCTTAACTGACTGAGCCACCCAGGCACCCCTATAAATATATTTTTAAAACTAATGGAAAAAGTGGTCAACATGTGGATACAATGGGGAACTTCATTTCAGTAGAGTACAGTATTAAAAAAAGAGGAAATTCTAGGATTTAAAAATACAATATCATAAATGTAGAATTCATTCAGTTTATTTTACAGTAGCCTAGAAAAAGCAGAAGAAAGGATAAGTGAATTCAGACTCAAATTAATTGAAATTATCCAAACTAAAATAAAAGGAGAAGAAAAAATTTGAAAGAACTGAGAAAAGCATCCAAAACCTGTGATCAAATGTACATGTACTGGATTCCAAGAAATAGAATAGGAAGAAAACGTGGCCAAAGAAATATTTGAGGAGATGAATGTCAAGAAATGTCCAAAATTGATGAAAGATAAAATCCACAAATCCCAGACAAAAAAAAAAAAAAAAAAATGTCGTGGATCTCAAATAGGATAAATACAAAGTCAAACATTTGAAAACCAAAGATAAAAACAGACACCCTCACTCCTACCCCCACCCTACACACAAACACAGGCTATGTTCAGGGAAAAAAAACAATAATACTTATGACAGACTTCTCATCAGAATCAAGGAAAAGTATAATGACAATGGCATGACATCTTTTAAAATGCTGAAGGAAAAAGATAAGCAATTTCAAGAGAGTGTAGTGCAAATTATTTACATAAGTATTAAGATTCCTCTATTTTATTGGTTCTAAAATTGTCTTTCTCAAGCTTCACTGGGCAAGCCCTGTTCTTGGTTATCTTGGATTTAATATACCATGTAGCATATCCATCCCAATGATAACTTTCAAAATCCTATAGACTACTCAAATCACATTTCAATTTTTGAGACTAAGTTTAAGTTTAAAGTAATTAAATAAGCATCCATTCAATAGAAACAAATCACAGAGATACCACCTAAATAAATAAAATATATATTTAATTTGCTTCAGTAAAAAATAAAAATAGAATTCCATTACCTATATATAGATATAGCTTGTTTTCAGTTGTAAAAAATCATAGGGGTGGTTATGTGGAAATTACTTTCATGAATATGAGGCAATTTTTTTCTTCTTTCCTTTGACATACATGAATTAGAGCAATAGAAAATCATACACCCTTATGCTAATTTTTTTTTTTTTCTGGGAGAATAGTGTGAGATGGCAGCTAACCCTCCAGCATTGTACTAGTTTAGGTAACACTAGCTACAGTAACAGATAAACCACCAAATCTTAGTGGTGCAACACAAGTTTATTTCTCACTTACCTAACAGTCCACATAAACATTTCTAGTCTGACAGTGACCCAGAAACTCAGCCTCCTTCTGTCTTGTGGTTCTTCAATATATGACTTTCAGGGTTCATCTGGAAACCAAGAAGAGAACCAAAAAGGTTGTATAATGCAATCAAACCCAATCTAAAGAAAAATGGGTTATCACTTCTTTTGTTTCTTTAGCCACTAGGCAATAAACTAATAGTGGACATTAATCACTAGGGCTCTAAAATTAGATATTTCGGATAAATTGAAAAACAATTCATGATTACTGGTAGCATAATTCATGAGTTAGTTTACCCTTTGTCCATATAATTGCCTCTGCCATTTTGCCCTGATGAAAAACATACAGCTCTACTAAATAACGGATTTTATTTTTCTCTTGTTCATTTTCACATGCAGAAGAACTAAGATTCTCTATTGAAATTAATTTTTATGGTATTCTGTGAAAATAGTTCTTTTCTGCTGAATTTAAAGGTCTTCTTTACTTTATAATTCCACTTGAATTTATGGCTCAAAATGTGATGTATCCCATGACAAATGTAACTTGAATTTATTTCGTCTTATAGTGGCTCCATCACAGTCACTCAGGTAACTTCATTTGGACTGAATGCTTATGATTTTAATTACAAAGTAAACAGATACCATTATATCATCACATAAAAATATGTAATGGAGATATTTGGGCAAGACAGTACCATAGTTCATGCTCTGATACACCCCTCTGCTCCAAATACATGCCAATAATATTTTTTTTTAAAGTTGTTTTAAAGAAAGCCAAAAAGTAACCCCTAGGTGAAAAAATATGATAAACAATTCTGTGGTTCAGAAATAGCAAAATACAAAGAGGTTAGCAGGAATAAGCTACAGGCCTGGGGATTTCCTAGTTTAGAAGCAGGCAGCATTAAGTAGGAGTTTTCTCCCTAATGGTATCAGGGATTTGAACTAGGTATCAAATGAAACTAGTGGCTATGGTGGGTCTGCCTTCTTCTCTGATAAAGGAGGCTCAAAACATAATACTACTGATCTTTACCTGTAGCTAAGAGTTATAGCAAGCTGTGAGGCTGGGGAGGCTGAAGGAGGAGAAAGCCTTGTGACTAGACATACTATTCCCTTGGTTGGATAACTGGATCCATAAGATTTCCACAGTTACCAAAAAGGAAAGTACCATCAACTTAAACTGCTATCCTAAGACCAATTTCTGTACTGCAGTGCTGGGACCCAATGGTGGGAACCACAAAAGATGTAAGGGAGGGGAGACACTGGAAGAGAGAAAAAAGTAAGAACATACTTAACAAACAAAAACATTTTCACTCAAAATTAGCCTGTAATCCAAAGTTCTAAAATATATGAAGAAACACAATTCTAAGAAAGACAACCCTCCAGATGAAATTAGTATTGTAAAACAGTCTAACAAAGACTTTTAAAAAGTATGTTTAAGAGATCAAAAGAAAAAAAAATAAAGACCTGTCATTTGCTTAAAGCAGGAATCTGCAAACTAACTTTTGTAAAGTGCCAGGTAGTAAATATTTTTTGGCTTTACTGGCCATACAGTCTCTTTTGTAACGACTCAATTCTGCTGCTATAGTAGAAAAGCAGACATACACAATATATAAATGAATGGGTTTGACTATTTCAATAAAATTTATTTATATAAATAACAATGAACCAGATATGGACTATGAAACATAGTTGCATAGACCTCATTTAAATAACTATGAAATTATTTAAAAAACAGGTAGAAATGTAATAGGAGTTGGTATGTATGCAAAAGAAATAAACAACTAGAAATCTTGAAACAAAAAAATATGATCATTGATATAAAACAATGTTCAAAAAGAATTGATAAGTTGTTTTTTAAAAACAAAGTAAAAAAATTATATACTTAAAACCGATTAAGGTTTTTGTAAAATTTGGGTAAAATATTAAAATATTACATAAATTTTAGAACTTGTTAAGAAAATAAGTATGATTAAGTAGGTATGTTAAAAATATATTTAAAAATAATCATTCAAACAATAAGAATATATGTTTTATAGCTTCCAACCCAGCAGAGGGGGATAAAAGTTAAAGAGTCAATTGGACCATACACAAACATCCTATTCTATCTAGACACATGAAAGCATTGCATTTCCCTGCCTGTTTGAATTCAGATATGTCCAAGTAACTTTTGGTCAATGACATGGGAGTGGGAGTGGCCTGTGTCACTTGTAGATGACAGCTTACGAGCTAAGTGAATGTTTGGCATAGTCTCCTTTCTCTGCCTCTCTTAGGAAGCATGTATTGAGATGGAGCCTGCATCAGTTTGGGTTTCTGAGTGACGAAATAAGTCAACCCACAATGATCATGTAGAATGAGTTGAGAAATAACCTTGTTTTGAAACCACCAAAAGTTTAGGCTTTGTTATTCCAGTATCCCAAGTTTTTCCTGACAGGTAGTCTCTAGCAGTCAAATTGAAACCATGAAAGGGGAAAATTAAAAGATAAAGAAAGAAGGCTGGCAAACAGAAAACAATGCAATCGTAGGACTAAATATATTATAAATCACAATAAAGGTAAGTAGATTAAATCTGTCCATTAAAAGATTTGTTGGAATAGATTAAAAATTATATGCTTTTTAAAAGCACACCTCAAAAGCACACACATACACAGTGCATTAGTTCACGTTTTCCAAGAAGCAGACACTAAGACAGGATTAAATGTGTAGGAAATTTATTGGAGAAAATGTCTGTACGGACAAAAGGGGAAGGCGGGAATGAGGTGGGAGTCTTCTGACTGTGATGTAGGTCTGAACCCTGTGAAGGACAGGGGGAAGGAAGGATGGAGTAGGAAGAGTCTTGGACTGCAGCGCAGTTCCAATAAATTTATTGACATTCTAATCTAGAGTCCTTGAATCAAAGTCACCCAGTTGAGGGTCTACATGTCCCAGAAATGGGCCTGCATTAGTTCTCTTGATATGCTCAGTCTTTGACTGAGGAAAGTATGGCCTCATCATGAATATGGTGTTGAATCCAGAAAACCAAAAGCTGGGGCACCTGGCCAATTATGCTTCCTAATCAGGAAATCTGAGACATGCACTTTTATGGCTACTACAAGCAGACAGTTATATATAAAGAAATGGGAAATTTCTATTAAGCTAAACCTAAAACAAAAGAAAGCAGCATAAGAATCATTATATCAAACAAAATAGCAGCTAAAAGTCTTTAAAGGAACAAAGAAAGTAATAATAAAAAGAGTCTGTGGTGGCTTTGTACTTGTCAATCCAGCTAAATTGGAACTAGGCTTCCCAGAATTCCCTTCCCTGTGTATTTCCAGATTAGGGTTGGCCTCAATAGAAATTTGCATAACATTTGGAACTCAGAAGTTAAGTAATAGCTACTTTTGTGCTCTGCAGCTCAGCTGTTGCTGTGCCTGGGCAGCCCCTGTGCCCAGAGCTCCTCTGACTCCTGCTGGGTCTCCTCCTGAAGGTTCTTCAACTGTTGCATCCTTATACACAGTTCTATGGCAAAAAGGCACTACTTCTCCTACAGGTCACCCTCATCATCAAAGGTCAAGCTAAGGCAGTGAAACAGAAACACAGGTTCCAATTTGTCCACCAGGTTTCCAGCTTGTCCTCACTGGTTCCATTTTTTTTCTTGCTCTTCCAACTTCATGTCCATTTTCCTTCTTAGATGTTCCCCTACTGCCATCAAGTTCAGCACCAAATAAGAAGTATCACAGATAGTTTAACCAGAGTCCACAATTATATATGGTCTAACCCCTGTACTAAATCCCTCCCTCAACATTATTTATAGTGGTTCTGATTCTCTGATTATGCCCTAAATGATAGAAAGAATTACCAAAAATAATGGGACAATTAAAAATAACAAGGAGATCTCAGAGTTCTGGGGAAGATGGTGAAGTAGGAGGACCCTGATCTTACCTCATCACATGGATACAACTAGATAACAGCCACATCAGTGTAAATAACCCAGGAACAACCTGAAGACTGGCAGAACAGATTCTTCACAACTAAATGTAAAGAAGAAATCACATCAAAGATGGTAGAAAGGGCAGAGATACTATCAGGAGCTAAAGAGACTCATAGGACTGTCCACAGAAGGGAGGGATGCTGTGGATCCCAAGAGGGGAAAGAAAGAGATCCTCACAGCAGGCACCCCAGCCATGGGGAACCGGCATAGGGAAGATGAATCCCCATAACATTTGGCTTTGAAAACCAAAGGGGCATAATTTCCTGAGTTCTTACAATCAGTGGGGCTTAACACCTAGAACTTAAAAAATCAGCAGGCTTTGTTCTAGGAGAGTCTGAAGGACAAGAGGAAACTGAGTCTCTGCCCTTAAAGAGACAGCACAACAAATAGCCCTGCTGAGATACAGAATAGAAGCAGCTGAAAAACACATGGCGTATATAGGAAGGAGCTGGTGGGCATCAAGTCTCTCCCCCAACTCCCCTACCCTTGACATAAGGATACCTGCAGGAATTGGCACAGTGCCAACACTCTCAAAGTAACTTGCTAAAGCCATGCACCCCACCCCTGCATTCTCCTGCAGACCTGCCCCCTCCAATATGTCCTTGGCCAGAGCCCATCCAAACCAGTGCCACAAGCCTGGCAGTGTGCAAGCAGCCCCAACAAGTACCAGCACCACTCCCAGTGACTTCTGCCCTGGGGAGAGGGGAAGATAACCACACACACCAGTCCAACTGCAGCCCCAGCAGTGGGCTGGAAGCAAACATCTGATCTGACTATAGGCCCCACCCACCAACAAAAGCTTCACAGGGTGCAAGACAGAGAAAGCATGCTGCAGTTCAGCGCTATTGCAACTCTGGCAAACACCTGGTCTGACTCAACTCAAGTACAAGGCAGCCCAAGACTGGCCCACTAACAACACAGGAACCAAATCCTGCCCACAACAGGCAAAGACAGCCACTGAAGATGAGTGGACGACAGGCAAAAGCAACTCAGCCACAACAGTAGGGTGCATGCAACACACATAGGAGAGACCCCTGAAGTGCCAGGTTCTGGTGAATAGGGGACATTGCAATGCAGGCCACTATAAGACCTCTTCTTCACAAGGCCACTACTTTCAAGAGC